TGCTTCTTACTGCCTATTTTCCCTTATATTTTTCTCAATCACTCTATTTTACAAGTGATCCATATGCATTTTGCTTGGAGAATCAATAGACAACTTTATATTTTGGCTGAGGCAATTAAGTCAAAGAGATCTTTAATGTGAAAAACTGTTTTGGCCAAACTATTTTGAGACAAACACATAAGAAAAATCAAAATTAAACTTAAGCCATTCCTGAAACAAATTTATCTGTATGATTGCAAATCCTTCTCTCCCTCTTCCTCGATTTCCCAATAAATCTATCTGAGGATTCAGTCTGGCCAATGGAATAACAAATGTGTATTTGTCTATGATCTAAAACTGTATCAATCTTTATACCACAAACTTATATAGATTCATAGACATATCATACTCTATATTTCCTGTGCAGAAACGTAAAAGACTATATCCATCCAATACAAACATCCACCCCATGTAATTGAGCAAATGCCATATATTATCAAACATTTTGGTGAGCTCTTGGATACTTTGTATACTTTAGTTGAGATCTTGACTTCCCAGAAAAAAAAAACACTTCATAATTGTATGGTTTTGAAAAGTGAGGATATTTCTTAATGTACATGTGTTCAGCATTACTGCACCAAATCAGAGATTCTTAGACTAATAAGATGTAGTAGAGAGAAAGAAATACAAACAGCATAGAGAATAAACAGAACATTCTGAAGTCACCAGTTGGGAGTGATCCAGACTGAATCCAAACTTTCTATAGGGTGTTACAGAACAGTATGAAAGATGATTTTCCATATTTTTTCAGATGCAATGGATTAGTTTGTAGACTCTGAATTCTTACATCAGTGATTGTAATGAAATGTTGGAACGGTGTTCTTTATCCAGTGAGGAGACTCCAGTGCAAAAAAAGCACTCAAGATATATTTTTTTCCTATCTCCCACAGCCCTATTTCATTTTGTTTTATTTTGTTTTCATCTTTCTATTTTAGTATTCTTTGAACAAATGCCCAAACTAACTTGGAAACCAGTTGCTTGGATGGCTATTTTTGTTCCTGATAGAAATGGTGGTGTTTGAATTACATTTGCTGTGCAACCTGGTTGTATTTGTGCCTTTGTTAACAGAAAATTGGATGCAGAACCATTATTGTAATTAATCATTTCATCATCATGGAAAAAGCTTTCATTTGGCTGGGTGACTGCACACAAATAGGCCATTCCTCCTGAGAGATATTCAGAATAAAACAGCTGAAAACCAATGGAACTCAAAGAGGAGAAACAAACATTGGTAAAATATAAGGCAATAATAGAGTCTAATCTATGGTATTGACCTTCTGTCCTTAGTTCTTCACCATCTTCTGTAGCCTTCTATGTTTGGCAAGGGGAATAAAGGCTTATTCATATGCCAGTAACCATTTCCTATAGTAGTGTCTTGAAAACCATCATTGGTATATTAATAAAATGAAAAGAGCTAACTGGCTAAAAGTCAACTTCCCAAGACAAATCAATTTGCATATTGCTAAGGGTTTCATAGACATTCATAGACATTCCCTCTCTTTCTGTTCCTGCTATGTACATATTTGAATATATAAATGCATGGTTACGATTGCATCCTGAGTATGTGTGTATTCTGAATATTTATATTTTTCACTGATTTGTTGGCTTGTGTGGTAGTCTTTAGATTAGAGGTTCTCACTTGCAGGGAAAGATGTGTATTTGCTAGGGGTAAAACTAAACTTTGATTGTCCCAAGGCTGTTTTATTCAAAAGGCAACTGGACTTTCTTGTTTTTTCCTTGAAGATGTTTTGCTTCTTCGGTTTTGACTGAATAGTGGAGAATGGAAGGATTTATATTTCTTGTAGTCATCTAGTCATTAGTACTCTTTCTGAGAGTCATTGAAGCCATTTGGAGGGTTATCTGTGCCCTCAGGATCACCTGAATAGTGCAAATGGCTGTGGAATCTTCTTGGAACTGCTGACAGACTGTGTTGTAAACAAGAGCTAAGACTAGACTTTGGTTGTACTTATGGCATACTTGATACAATGTATCAGTCTCACCAATAGTGACTTTAATGTTAGCAGAGATGCTGCAATATCTATGGAAAAACCTTGTGGAAATCACAGATTACATCTTGAAATGTATAATGAATGTTTGTAGTGACAGTTGCTGTGAGTTGAAAATGGATGTGAAAGTAAGTGAATTTTAGTAGTGGCTAAAACTGAAATAATTTGTAATGAACGTTAGATAGTGGGATACAACAAGATGTATGGATCTGAAAACAAGTATATTAAAGACCAAGGCAATTGTGTTTGAGAGAGAAAATGGGCCAAATGATTGCAAGCTATACAACGATGAAAGAAGGGTAGGTATATAAATCTGCATACTTTGATAAAAAAATAAAATTGAGGAAATGGATACAGAGATGTTATGATGTATAAATGGTGTTTGGGAAATGATCGTGAGTATGTTATGAGGTATAATATTTGTCAAAATAAACAAAACCAGCTGTATAAATGTGCATGCTTCTGCCTCTTTGATACATAGACATGAGAGCTAAATATTCTGGAAGAAACATGGAAATAAGTTAGGAAACCTGCATAGTAAATGGAGAGACAGCCAAGAAAGAATAGGTGCTGAATAATAATAAAGTGGGTGACCAGTAAAAAGACATGCCTTGAGGTGGTCTGGTCATATAATGAATAAACGTTGTAAATTGTAAAACCAAAATATGAAGGAAGAATGAATGGATTCAGAGGCTGAGGAAAACAAAGAAATTTGTGGTTGGTTAGATTTCAATAAATGAGAAAAGGAACAGAGACTTTCAAAGAGTGTAAAGCAAGGTATGAAGTCATACATGGATATAATAGAAGCACAAATAGTTTCTAGGATTAGAAAATATATGAAGAGCAACTATGTTTGTGTAAACCTGATTTAGGTATAGTTCCATTTATTTTTCTTATCTTGTGCCTTAATTACTTTAACCCACTAGTTTTTACTTCATTTTTTGTATTATTCCTAATATTTCTTGCCCTGAATTAGTGTGATAGGTATGTGTGGATTGGAATCATATTGAGTTGCACTTCTGATTATCTAAAATTTCCCTGAGTCTGATTTGATCTTGTAGGAACATATGATATTGCATTTCAGTGATGAATGGCAACAACTTTCCATAACAAGATGCCCATAGAAATCCACATTCATAAAGGGAAACTGCAATTGGCATGAAAATTACACCTTGTGTTACTAAAAGGCATATGCCACCATCACATCTTTTTTTCTAACTTCAAGCTGTGATATACATTGAATAAAGGAATAAAGCCAATATTTGAAATCAAAGAGTTGTGTGCTTGAACTCAATATGGCAGTGATAGAACTTGAAATCTTCTCTATATTAGATAAGGTGTTTGAGTGTTAAACTGTGAATAAGTCTTTCCTTGGACCTGCCTCCTTCTAATCATGACAAAATTTAACAAGACCAGGAATATTGTCTGCTATTGAGGGCTGCAGTACTTCTATCTTTGTTTGCGGCACACCTACTCTTAATCACCGAAAGTCATCCATAACTTTGAAATTATATTAAATAATAAACTGGGCTGAAAGAAAACATAAACCAGTATGCAAAAACTATTAAACTCTGTGGTCCAATAAGATGCAGAACTTGGCCAGAGTAAGAACTGAGAACTCTGACTATCTTTATTAGATCACTATCTTTTAAATGAAAAATAATAACTTAACCTTTATTTATGCTCTCAATCTGCTAGTTCCATCTTGGGAAAATGTTCATTTTCAGGGTTTTATGCGATACCACAGAGGTTTTTTCATGATCAAAACACCCCAACAGTATTTTCCTGCTGTTTGCAAAATGTGCATTCCTTTGAGCCAAGTTTGAATAGCTAGCTTAGTCGAACCTTAAGCCAAATCTGTACATTTTGTACTGCTCTTGGTGTTTTTGGAATCACAACAGCTATCCCCAACTCTATCTTCATCTCCCCTACACCTTTAATTAGTAACTGTTGCTGTAAAACTGAGAAGATGCTGTGACTGCATCTTTCTTCTGTTTCTTCCTTTATTTTATAATTGGAAATGCTGTAGTGTAGGGAAGAAAATGCCAGGAGCACTGACAAATATATTTCACTAGCTATCCTTGTATGTCCAATCTTTTGGAAATAATTGTTTCAAATACTAAGGGAAAAAGAGAAAGGAATAGGGTGGAAGATGGAAATGAGAGAGAAGAATAAACACTAGACAAACAGAAAGTTAAATACACACTGAGAAATTAAACTTAAAATCAAACCAAGAAGAATTGAGAACCTTAAGTTGAGAAGGGAGTATAATATTAAAGGTCTTCAACTTTATTTCTGGAAAATTAGAACAATTATTCAATGGAACAACTTGCCTCCAGAAGTTGTAGATGCTCCAAATACTTTTTAAGAAAAGATTGGACAACCATTTGTCTGAAATGGTATACGGTTTCCTGCTTGAGCAGGGGGTGGACTAGAAGACCTCCAAGGTCCCTTCCAACTCTGCTATTTTCTTATTTACTAAATATAGACATACACATCTAGTCTACTAGTCTTTCTAGCATAGTACAACCTCTAAACATATTTCTTAATTAATACAAATAAAGTATCACAAGAGTATTTTACGCTCAGTAATCTAAGAACATTTACTGATTGCAAAGAAAAAATGATTCAAAATGCACTCTAAGAAATATAATTAGAAAGCTAGAGACATAACATGGGAATATGCTGTTAAAGGAATGCATGCAAATGGATATATTCTCCCAATAGGTCCATATGAGCATCTTATTTGTTTACCCGGATGTACATGAACACAATCAGAATAAACAATACTGAATAGTGTGAATTAGGCTAGGGAGATTCATATAAGATCTCATACTCCAACTACTGAAAGCAAAATTCAAGTTTTACTTTCATGATTCCAGGAGGTTTCCAACTGGTCAGTTCCATTCATATTTAAAAAGGCACTCATAAAAGTAAAATCACATCTGCACTCACCTGTAATTCTGTTTTTCATTTCCTATGTAAAATCTGTCATATTGTGAATAAGCCCGACTTCCTTCCCAATCCATTAGTTCGATTCTTAGAGAGTAATGTTTTTGACTGGTGGTTATTGCAAAGATGAATTCATTGCCCAGCCAATATTCACCAGAGGGACTACCAAAACCCTAGGGAAAAAAAATGAAGAAGTGAGTTTCATCATCCTTGCTTATATTTGTGCAACATACACCATAGAAATTTTCATTTGACACTAAATGTTCACAGCCTTCTTCAATCTGCTTAGTTCTTATTGCATGTATTACAACTTACATCATTCCAGCCACAGAAAAGTAATTGGAAATGCAAGGACAGACGCTGACTGTCACTTTTGGGAAAATCAACCTTCATAAGTATGTAATAATCCTTCTAAACACATGTGCAAAATGTTCTTGATGTCTTAAATTGTTGATTTATAATATACGCCAATTCTGTTTTGATAATTTGATGAAGATCATGACAATGACCATGTTTTTCTTTGCTCTTTTGGTTAGATACAGACATTGTAAGTAATTGCTAAGAAAAAAAAGGAAGAAGGACTACTGATGGAGACATTCTTTTTCCTAACTAATCTTCTTTTTAAATGTTTTCTCAAAGATATATTTGTTGCCCAATAATTAAAAGATATCATACAGTATCCAGAGTGCATTTTCAAGCTTTAGTCCCTAAGACATTAATGATGTAATTTAATCACAACTAACAAGTCTCAATCATTTTAAGAAAAGCAAATTGCAGCTTACCTCCTTGATCTGGATGTTATTTAAAAATGTAAAAATAAATGACAGAAATACCTAGAAATATGACAGAAGAATTGTCTGGTAGATGATATGATCCTTCATTTCAACTTATATCTTGTGCCTCATTGTTGAATTGGAATGACAAAGCTGTTAAAGATGCTAAATATCTTGGAAGAAAGATATCTCATTGGATGTGTTTTTAGGAATTAGAGCGTAGGAAAATTTAATATTTATATACCATATTTCTTTTCTTCATCACAGAAGGAAAAAAAACTTGCTGTCTTGGTAGCACAATATCACATAATATCTCATAATCATGATTGTTTTAATAGAAGTTCCAATCTAAAGCAAATAAGAACCAGATAGTAAACTGAAAGGCTAATCTTTGATTCAGCTGCTTTGCAGGAACTGTTTAGGGCCAATCAAGCATCTCCTTGTTAACAAAATCAGAATCAAAATAACTCAAACAACAAGAAAACTAGGGACATGGGTCACCAATAGAAATAATCCAGCATTATTTCAGCAGCGTCAGGACTAACATTTTGCAGAGTTGATGTTAACAATGGAAAGAAAATGCTGTGAAGGGTACAAAAGTGTTTTATTAAATCTGGCAAAATGTGTAAGGATATCTTTTTTGAACCACGTTCCTCCAGTACCATTAAACAGTTCTCTCTCTTACTTCATTTTCCTCATCTGATAGTGTTCATAGGAAGCTCTGAGGTTTTTAATGGAAAAGAAAATGAAATCGAAACCAGATATAGCATATCTTATGGATATGTTTCAAAACCATTGAATGAAACCACTAATAAGTCAGTCCTAACCTCTCACCCCTACCTCAGGAAAGCCTATCTTCTGAGAATAAGTAAGAGGACCCTCAAGCTTTAGATGGAAATGATAGAACTGCTTTTTGGAGGGGGAAAATAAGTTGATATATTATGGGGCATTAATTCCTTAATTCACCATTAATATCCCACTTTTAAAAAGTTATTTCAAACAGGTCCAACTGTAACTATTTTTATAAAGAAATTATAGAGGAGGAGGAGGAGGAGGAGGAGGAGGAGGAGGAGGAGGTGGTGGTGGTGGTGGTGGAGAAGAATATCCACACAATCAAATAGCCCAAAATAAAGATATGGAAACACACACAGATATTAATCATAAAAAGTCTTGTAGAATAAAAACAATATAGACTAAAAACCTTAACTCACTTTTTCAGGCACATTACTTCCTTAAGAAATAGAAGAAGAGATAGAGGAGATAATTTGGCTGATAGTTTCATCTTCCTTGCATCAGAAGACAACCCTGCATTGCAACATAGCACTGACTGATTGGATTCTTTTACTGCCCCAGTTGTGTGAGGGTCAGTTTTCCAAGAACTTACAGCTAACTGTTAGCCCAACCCCTTGTCACCTCTGCACAGCTAGTCCTACAAAGAAGGAAGCCACAAGTGAAATCTACTTTGATTCTGCACTCTCTGGAAAAGAAGAGCAACAAAGATGATTATGAGGCTGGAGGCCAAACAGTTGCAGAAATTGGGTATGTCTAGTCTAGTGAAATGAAGGACTAGAGTTGATATGATAGCAATGTTCCAATATTTGAGGGGCTACCACAAAGAAGTGGTGCTCAACCTATTTTCCAAAGCACCAAAAGGCAAGACAAGAAGCTATGGGTAGAAACTAATCAAGGAGAGAAGCAACCTAGAACTAAAGAGAAATTTCTTGACAGTGAGAATAATTAACCCATGGAACAGCTTGCATTCAGAAGTTGTGGGTGCTCCATCACTGGAGACTTCTAAGAAGACACTGGACAGTCATTTGTCTGAAATGGTATAGGATCTCCTGCTTGAGCAGGGGGTTGGACTAGAAGACTTTTAAGGTCCCTTCCAACTCTGTTATTCTGTTCTGTTGTTTTTCAGCAGTCAAAAACAGAAGGATTCATATAAAGCAGAGATTTGGCAACATTTATCATTTTGAAAGTAACACTCCCCAAAGTAAGCAGGTCCAAGATAAACAAGTAGATAAAACACAGACAAAACAAACAAGCCAAAACCCCAGACTCAGTTTGAACTCGTACATATTTAATTAATATTATATGCTGTTATTTAACATTAACATGATAACTTCCTATGTATTGAGTAACTTTTTTCTTCTGTTATATATTAAATAGGAGATGTAACTTTTTAGGGTGCTGGATAAGGAGTTTAGAGAGGTAAAGTAAATTTGTAGATACAACTGCTGTGAAGAATATATATATATATTCTTTCTTTTCTATTTTTCAACCTTTTTTCTTGCACTTTTTGCTTTTATCTTATTTCTTTTTTCTTCCTTACTTTATATTAATTTGCAATAATTTTTATTTCCTCTTTAAAGTTTTAATAAAAAGTTCTAATAAAAATTATAATTATGTAAAGAAAAGGGGGCAGGGCATTGATCACACTATTAAATCCATCATTTTGATTTTTTAACACTCCCCCCTACCCCTCTTGCAGATAACCTTGGAAACAGGATTGTTGTCAGATGGAATTTAAATACAGTGATAAATGCCTTATAAATCATCAAATTCTTAGAAGTCCCAGCTTTTCTGACAGTGTAATGTCTGTATCAGTAATAAAGAATGATACACACCTACAAATTTATTCTTGTTCTATACAAGAATATAAAGATTTGAGGCAGATTTGGGATGCCTTGTGACCTGGATCTAGTTAAATGTAGTAAACTGATTCTTGCATTTCATCAGTAATCCAACAAAGTTTATACCAAATGTAATGGAAAAGGGATAACCATATTAATCAGCTAACTTTTTTTTTTTTGCAGAGTACAACTCTTTTCTCCTTTCTGATTAGGGGAGGCCATCATGTGGGGTGATTTAAAACACATTTCTGTGGTCCAGTTAAAATGCCGAAGGGCAGGCAATCAAAAGATATATAACCACATGTCAACACAATTTCCAAAACAGATGTTATCCAGCAACATTTACAGAGGGAGAATATGATTCTAGATAGGACTATGTGCTCTAAGCAGAGCAAGCTTGGGCTAAGGAAGGCTATTAAACTATAAATGCAGTAGCAAAAAGGAAACTATAAAATAATTAAACACAAATGTACATGGTGACTTTAGGTTCCCTGTAAGAGGTAGGCAGAAAGGAACTACAATGTTTACATTTCTGATAAATGTAAATTTATCAGAAATGTAAGCATTCTGATAAATTTCTGATAAATCCTTTCTGAAAAGGATTTGTTCAGTGTGCATTTTAATGCTGCTTTGCCCAATTTACATTCTATAAATTTATACAGAAATATAAATTAAGGAACATGCCATTTATCTGTAGCTTTTAAGATGCAATTTGCTCCTGGAAAACATATGTGATACAGTAAAGCATGCAAACTAACAAAAGAAAAGGCACATTATATTAGGAGGAAATAATTGAATGTGTGTATGACAGTCCAAAACAATAAGGTAATGGTCACAATATCCAATCAAAGTTCTGCCTGTTTCTTTTTAAATTTCATTATGTGTGTGAGATACATCTAAAAACAGTCAGAGCTTCAAATATAATGCTGAGGCCTCCATCTTGACTTTTTTTTTATTATATCCTGTGGACCCCTCTTTATGAGGGAACTGCAGCCAGAAAATCACATGCTGGGCGAAAAGACACCAAACTGCACTAAATTACAGAGAACTCTTTGCTGGGATTATACATGCTGGGCAAATTGCATGGAAAATTACAATTATTGAGGAGATTTCCCTCTCCCCCTCTCTTTCATGTCATTTAAAAAGATCACAAATTGAAAAAGGGACAACATGAACTGGGGAAAAAAGTAAAAGAGTGACAGCTATTCTTACCCTGCCTCTGAATTATGGTTTCTAATCTTAGAAACTGCAGATGTTGCGTCAAGGCCGTTCATTCTAGTTCTGAACATGGAGGAAAAGGATGTTTTGTGGTTGATGAATATTATCAGTCTCTCCAAGCAGCTGACCACTATTACTATTACAATTCCTATTTGTCCTGTCTGTTTTTCACTAATATCAATGGGAGTGGAGATAATTGTTTTTATTCATGTCAGAAGCATCAGTTAATATAAGGTATATTATATGATATAAAATACTATATACACACACACACATACATACATATAAATTAATCAGATAGCAACATTAATTGTGTTCTTTTGCACTGGCATGAGGTCCTCAAGTATATACTGATCAGGACACAAAGGGCAGGTATACATATGTGTTGTTGTCTGCATGTCACCACAATCGCAAAGAGCCAAAGCCCCATTTGTTCAGAGTGTCTTTGGATCTTGTTGTACCCATCCACAGTCTATTCAACAATTTCCCAGTTTTCATCAGACCCCGGCACCAGCTCTTCCTTTGATTCCATCCAGTGTTGGTTCTTTGTAGCTATCCATAGAGTGAAAGATGAACATATATCTCCATATACTGCCTTGTCTACATTAGTATTTCAAATAGGATGGTAAAAAAAAACCTTTCAGTTTCCTGATAAATTGGTAGGCACGAAAGTGTAAAGGCAAGTAAGAGTGGGTAATCACAGTGAATGAAATGAGATTTTGCAAGCTGAAGTTTTCTCTTTGAAAGCATATGGGTAGCAGAGTGCAACTACTGGGTGGGGTACTCATTGCAAATAATGGAGAAGTTAAGACGCTGGCCGGGAGGCTGGTTCTCATATTAAATAATACTAACTGCTAAAATGGTAAATGGTAAATAAATGAAATACACTAAGTAAAGCTAAAGATGCTTGCTTAAGCAGATTTTTTAATTATCATTTTATATCTTCTGAAACATGATTTACTTCTGGGTGTTGCAATAATTCTTTGTTAACTACATAAAAGTCCAGAAAAGATCATAAAACCGGTACAATTAAGTCTGTACTCCTAAAATGAAAACTCAGTGCCTAAAAGCCACGCAATTTAATTAATTCAGGAAGGAAAGTAATATCTTCCCAGATTTGAGTGCCAACAGTGGGAATACTTTATCCAGCCCTCTACTTCTGAAATTTTTCTTTTGTTAATTCATTCAGAAATGAATTTGGGGGTGGTTTTTTGTATAAAAGGGCATCTTGATATATCTATGCAAATATCAACATTTGAAAATATGTCGCTTGCTACATTGAACTGGCTAACTAACTTGCCGACTTAGAACAGTAGAAATGGATATAATAAGTATTAGCAGAAATGCTGCACAATAATTGCATAGCTCTTTGAACACTTAAAGGACTTCATATATACAGGTAGTCCTTCATTAAAATGGCAATTGGGACTCCAGACAGGAAACATGAACTAGATGAGAACTGTAATTTTTACAGTTATGCATGATTCTTCTCCCTTCATATGATAAATGGGGAATTGAGAATGAGGAAGGTAAAGCCAGCTATTTCCTGGTGATTACACAGGCATGTTAATATTCCATAAGTCCCTCAAGACCTGGTTTTATATTAAGACCTGGAGTTTCCCAAGGATATTCTAAGATGGTTTCCAGGGATATTCTAAGATGGTTCTGTCATTGTGCTTAATTTACTCTCTCCTGTACCTGATAGATTATATTTTAAAGACCAGTGGTGGCACAGTGGTTAGAATGCAGTTTTGCATGCTAAGTCTGCCCACTGCCAAAAGTTCAATTCTGACCGGCTCAAGGTAGACTCAGCCTTCCATCCTTCCAAAGTCTGTAAAATGAGAACTCAGATTGCTGGGGGTAATATGCTGACTTGGTAAACTGCTTAGAGCAAGGGTGTCAAACTCACAACGTCACATGATGTGTCGCAACATACCATGACTTTTTTGCCATTGCTGGCAATGGGGTAGGCGCAGTTTCGCTATGATGCATCCGGCCTGCGGGCCACCAGTTTGACACCCCTGGCTTAGAGAGAACTGTAAAGCACTATGAAGTGGTATATAAGTGTAAGTGCTATTGCTATTAATAATGACTGTTTTAAATTATTTTTAAACTATTTGTTGATTTATTTAATTGTTGTACACTGCCCAGAGTCATTTCATGTGAGATGGGTGGCCATATAAATGAAAGAGAGTGATAAAAAGAGAGAGAGAGAAAGATGATAGATGGATGATAGATAGACAGACAGACAATACAGAAACAGGTTGCTACTGATTTTTCTGAAGTATATTTTTTTAAAAACTCCAGTGTAAATTATGGAATCTGAGACCTACCTAGGTGCCTTCATTGTTGAGGGGGCATTTCTATTTCCTTCAATTATTTGATTTCCATTTTTTTAGGATATTTATTATTGTGGTCTTTTCTATTTGTATTTGCTATTTTTATATTCTCACATTTTATCTATGATTGTGCACCACTCAGCATTACCTTGGGTTAGATGGGCGGCTATATAAATTGGATTAATAAATGCATAAACTGTAAAATTTTCTCTTGCTGTTCCATCCTATTTGTGATTAGATTGCTGCTTAGATTCTGAGAGTGATATGGATGACTAGGTGCCACCAGCTGCTATATAATGAGACCAGTTACTTTGTTCATATTAGAGATAAGAGTCTCAGATTAGCAACTGCTCTCAACTATTGTTGATTCTGATGTAGTTATAAAAATATTAGAATTAGGATACTTCAATCAAATATACATCTGGGAAGGATTTTAGAAGGCATCTCAGCTTACATGATGTTAAACACAGAGAATGACTTGATTTGAGCTCAGCTACAGGCAATTACAGAGACATATCCATATCATTTTCTTGGCAGCAATGTGAAAGCAGTTTGCCATTGATTTGCAGGGATTTTGTTTTTTATGCTTTAATCTAGCCAGTCGAGACCATTTTCCTGGTGGTCTCATGTCCAAGTACTGATCACTCCAATCTGCTTAGGCCTTCTGGGATGAAGCAAGACTGGCTTCCACTTGTTGTGACATGCATACAGATAATTCTTGACTTACGAGAGCATCCAAAATTAGAACAGACTCCACAAAAGGTGCGTATGACACAGATTCCAAGGTATGATGGCTTCCCCCCCTCCAATGTTAACATAATAATATTTTGGGTACTAGCCAATTGGCTTGCATTTCCCAGTTACCAGCAAAAAAACCTCCCATTGTGAACAATGGGTTTGCTTAACGATCATGGCATTCACTTAACAATAACCACAAAAAATATTGTAAAATCACATGATGACCCATTTAATGACCATATTGATTTACAACCACAATCCTGAGCTAAATTATGGTCCTAAATTGGGGACTACCTGCATATTTATTTCTTGGATTGGATGTCCAATACCTCACAGGAACAGACCTGACAAAATTTGTCAGACAGATTTTATATATATCTAGAGGGCTGAATAGCATAGTGATTAGAATGATAATGAGAGATTGTGGATTAACAGAAGACCTGCATCCACACTAACTGAGAAATAGCTAGTTACCCCACACTTCAACATAGTGAAGAGAAAGACAATCCAACACAGATACAGGCAGAAATAGAATATACTAAACAGTACAACAAAGTAGATGGCATTGTGTTCAGGAACATCTGCATAGTGTACGGGCTACAGACTCCCAAGTCCAGATAGGAGAGTAAATCATGGATAATAACAGGGCTAGGATTATATGCAGCTCCAGACAATTAACAGGCAATCACATTTTTTAGCTGCTCTGCTTCCATGCCTGTCATGTAGAAATTGGAACTGAGAAGCTTCTGTTCAGACTATGCTATTGATTTCTGCGTCAAGTAGTTATTGATGTCTAGAAGACTGCCAGGAGAAGTAAACTGGCTAACCTTGTCACTGGAAGGAATGCCACGATTGGTTGATTGTCCCATATTACACAAAGAAGTAATATTATTCACTACATCCAGGGATCAAACCATAGATTCAGAATAATAAAACATGATATGGAATTACCCCAAACGCCAACCAAGTTCACTTGTTTTCCCATAAAACTGCCATATATCAAGTCTATTGGGTCACCATCATCTGAATTTCAGCTGCCATCTTCAGAATGCAACTTCTTTTAAGCCTAAATTGCTTTTTAATGTTATGCTGGGATTCAGATTTCAAATAGCAGTTGAGGCTATGACAAAGCAGTAAATAAAGCAGAAACAAGACTATTTTTTTTACTACTTACTACTTAATAATTTCCCCCTTATATTGTTGGAGAGGTTTTCTAGAAATATCATGAGAGATCTGGGAGAGTATATAAAAACATATAAATTTTACATAAGAGAATATAAACGCCCCCCCCCCCCGAGAATTTCAGTGTAGAATTGATGGCAGAAATATGGTTTCTCCAATGTTGTTGAAGATACAGATTGCTAAAATAAAAGTGGTCTCTTCAACCTCCAGCTAAAATGGAGTAGTAACTACGGTTAAACATTAAGTCTAATAAACTTACATCTGCAGTTAAGCCAGCTGTGATCTAGCTATGAGTCTCTACCTTGAATTCCATTTGGAACTGTCCAGGGTGCTAGTTTGAATCTCAACTCTTCTTTTTTTGAACTTAAACCTTGCCCTGAACTTAAATAATTTCAGAAATCCTCTTGGGCTGTGATACTCATATAGCATCTCCAGAAGATACATATCAGTTCTGCCTGACTATTATTACTAGGAGAAATATATATCCCTCAGAGGATTTCAATTTCCCCATATCGCACATAAATTTATTTAATTTACTCTTTAGTCCTAACCCTATTCAATTTTAGTTGTGCACAGAGTACAGCTATCACTTCACAATTCACCAGAATTCAAAACGGCATGGGAGTTTATGTCCGTTATTCATAAGAAATTTTAAGGAAATGACTGCCTTTCCCCACATCCTCTGAAAATTCCTCACAGAGACAAAGAGATCTGTAGAAGGCCTCCTGTGAAGCACAGAGGCCTGCAATTCCTGGGTGGAAGGGTTTTCTATTTTCTCACAGGGGAATTTGGATCTCAACCAATGTTAACATTTTTGTTATTACTCAGTGTGACACATTCTCTGGAAAAGAAGAATGGAAACCATGGACAAAGGCAATAGATACTCCTCTAAATCCACAGGGGAAGAATGGAAGAAAGTTTCTAAATGAAGCAACTTTCTGAAGTATGATTCATATTAAAACAAATCAAGAAAGGAGTCTTGATGGCTATAATAAGCTTGAACCGCATGGTTACTTCTGGTTTATTGTTTAATGGCCATGTTCCCAGTATAAGCTATTGACACAGTGTTCAGCTTTGCTTCAAATTAAGAATAATGATAAAACAATGTCTCCATCTTACCATTTTGTATTCTCTCCAGCTTTTTTGGAAATCTAGGCTCCCATCTTCTCGGTGTTGTATGACTGTCCAGCCTCCTCCTGCAGTCTCCATGTTGCAAAAAACCTGGACATAAGAACATAAATGTATAAACATCTCTATGCTGACTTGTCTTGAGCCAGCCTGCTCCTTTTCCTACAGTCAGTAATAGCCATTCCTCAGAGACAGTTAGTAGTAAGATAAATAAAATGCTAATGTATAACTCCTGTCCCCCACTTTTCAACTCTAAAAAAAAGAAGTTGGACATCAAGCTTATATCTTTCAATAAAACAGAATAATGCACTTAGTTTGTGTAATTATTATAGCCCATCAAGCTTTATGCAGTAATACAATTCATAAGTTAATTCTTTGAATCATTTAAAGTGTTAAAATCTATTGCATCTAAGATCAATGAATAACAATGAATATCAGTCACTTTATGTTCAGATTTTCACTAGCACTCATAAAATCAATATCACTGGATTTTTTTGAAGCTGGGGAAGGGAACTCCTGTGTCACTGCATTCTGAATTATTTTCAAGGGCAGTGAATTGCAACAGTCCCTGTTATAAGTGACTAAAGGAGAGATTATCTGAAAGGTTTTTTCCTTGTATTTCTGCAATCATTATCCATATGTTTTAATTACATTTCCAAGATCTGGTTATTAATTATAAAGTCCTTCATCGCTTGGATCCTAGTTATCTTTGAGACATCCTGTTTTAGATAGAATCTACCCATCCTATGCACAATGTGAAGCCACATTGTGTATTCTTGTTCCTCATGAAGCTAAGGCAGGGGAAGACCCAAAAATTCACCATATTTACCTCAGCTTGTCCTGCTGATGTAAGTATGTCTGTTTTTCTGTTAGCATTCAGGAAACAATCCTTTTGGATAGTTTTTGGATTATCATTCATGGGGAAGTTGCTATTACTATGTGTTACTGGCTAGGTTTATTACTATTTTTCATTTATGTGATCTTTTTATTCTTTTAATAATACAGTAGTTTGTGATTTTATATTTTTATAAGCCATCTAAAGTCTTATAACTCTGGTGTCACAAAAATCTTGCAGATAAATAAAAATACTTAACTGTTTAACATGCACAGGAAAAAAAGAATAAATGTGATTTGTTTTGTACAGTAACCTAATTTGATTGCCTCTAACATATAAGTTTTAAATCCCATGGATTTGATGTGGCTCTTCTATGTTTCATTTGTGGCATATTTTTTCCATTTTAATTGGTGCTATAACTGGGACCCTTCCTTAATTACAAGGTTCTAGCTATGTTTTGTATGCTTTGTTTATTTCACAATTGTATTAATATAAGAACATTCTACAGTAAGTGAGATTGACTTAGAAGATGATTATTAAACTATTAAATGCTAGTTTTGGAAACAGTGTTTGCTTCATGGTGATACCTATTCAATACGTCTTCCAAAATAGAAAACTGACCAAGTTGCATCATTAGAGTACATTTACATTTAGGCAAGAAAAATCAAATATATAAGTTTAGATACTGGCTCAAAAAACAGTAACTGTGAGAGGGACCCTGGAGTCCTAGTAGATGATCACTTGAATATGAGCCAGCAGTGTGCAGCAGCAACCAAAAAAGCCAATGCAGTCCTGGGTTGTATAAACAGAGGCATAGAATCAAGATCACATGAAGTATTAGTACCACTTTATAAACCTAGTAAGACCACACCTGGAATACTGCAACCAGTTTTGGTCACCCAAAAAGATGTTGAAACTCTGGAAAAAGTTCAGAGAAGAGCAAGTAAGATGATCAAAGGCCTGGAGACTAAAACATATGAAGAACAGCTGCAGGAATTGGGTTTGGCTAGTCTAAAGAAAAGAAGAAATAAGAGTGACACAATAGCAGTATTCCAGTATTTGAGAGGCTGCCACAAAGAAGAGGGGGTTACATTATTCACCAAAGCACCAAAAGGTAGGACAAGAAACAATGGCTGGAAACTGATCAAAAAGAGGAGCAACTTAGAATTAAAGAGAAACTCCCTGACAGTGAGGACAATTAACCAGTGGAACAGCTTGCCTTCAGAAATTGTGGGCTCTCCATCACTGGAGATTTTTAAAAAGAGGCCTAGGCAGTCACTTGTCTGAAATGGTGTAGGCTCTCCTACTTGAACAGGAAGCTGGGCCAGAAGATCTCCATGGTCCCTTCCAGCTCTATTCTTACTTTGATTCATGTATAAAAATAGGTACTAAGTACCATCATTACCATGGCCAACACCTCCACACAACCTACAGCCGCCCTGAGTCCTCCGGGAGAAGGGCGGGGTATAAATTTAATAAAACTAAAACTAAAACTAATAATAAAACTAAAACTACATCCCCACTATTCCATGAATCTTCATTTTCTGCTGTGTATTTTCCAAATAAATGGTTCAGGAAGTGCTCCATTAAGATGCATGCATTTGAATGCTTATAATCTAGATGAGAGCCAGAGCGATCTCATTGTGCTCGTGTAAGAAAAAAACCATACTCTGCTGTTGATATCAATTCATCAAAAGTCAGTATTATCTATTTCCATGCAGGATCATACAAGGGAACCAAACTTATGCATTTCCTGGTAGTGTAATTGTTCCCATTACCCAGTTTCTTTGAATGCTTTTCTTCAAACCAAGCTATTATATCTTTTGCTGAATCCATCTGATGCCTTTCACCTGAAGATGAATGGTTCATACCACAGTTGCTTGGTTGTTTCCATTACATGACTTGGATTCTATTATGTGTCTTTGATACTTGCACACACAGCCAAAGACTGCTGATTGTCTTAGAGGATAGGCATTGTACATTGCTCCAAATCTGTGAACTTTATTTCAGAAAGAAAGGATAAAAATCCAATGGGAGAAAAATAGTTTGGCTCAGGGCTTCCTTCCGTCATGGCATTTGAGTTCAAACATTTATCTACTGCCTGGGGCTTCATTAGTCTTGGATTTATAGCATTTTCAAGTAATGTGTGCATTATCAAGCTTCAACAGAACACAAAGGCCAGTCTTTTGAACATTTTTTTTCAAATATTAAATCTTTATACACTGTGTAAAACAAATATGTTTCAATGGTATGAGAAGGGAAATATGCATTGCATTTTGTGTACTTGTCTTTTTTATGATAAACTGGAATGGCAAAGTGGAATAGAAGGTGTACAGATTATTTCTTGAATTAATTTTTTTTTAAAAATCCTTTCCTACATAAGTTTAATGTTTTTGCATTTTGAGTAATGTAGGTATTGCAAAAAAGCAAAAAGAAAAAATGCACAATGACAGTGAGATTTACAACACTAAATTATTCATTGTGTGGTCTGGTCATCTCCATAGCAATGGATTGGATAGCAACACCTGCCACAGTAACAGGAGTGGCAGGGTGATTATAAATATTAGCTTTCCATACTTCAAGCCAACAAATATCCTTAACTGGCTCATGTCCCAGACAAGGTCAAGGCAGTCAGCCATTAAACACCTTTTAGCATGTTTTGAAGTTGAAATCTGAACACACACATTGAGATACATAAGGAAACAGGCAGAATTTCACATCATTCTCCTTTTCTGTTTTGACAATGGATTGACTCTTTCAACTGGACATGCTTACAAAATGATTTGGAGGAAAGACTTCAGGCATTGTGAAAGGAAAGCCACAGGACCAGGAACATGTGTAGGGTGGGATCAAAATTGGTAAGATGGTGAATGGAATCATGCAATGCAAGTCTTGCTTATTTCTGCATCACAGCTGCCTGCATGTTTAAAAGAAGCAGGTTTTCATTAAAGCAGCCCTGCTTTTTTTCAAACTTTCCTGCCAACTTGAGGGGGGGGGAAAGAGAGATTGTAGCTTTAAGAAGTTGATTCCCTATACAGGTGAAACTCGAAAAATTAGAATATCATGCAAAAGTTCATTTATTTCAGTAATGCAACTTAAAAGGTGAACCTAATATATGAGATAGACTCATTACATGCAAAGCAAGATAGTTCAAGCCGTGATGTGTCATAACTGTGATGATTATGGCTTACAGCTCATGAAAACCCCAAATCCACAATCTCAGAAAATTNGCCTGCCACCGGAAGTCTCCATCTTTTATGTTCTGAACTACTTTAGTGCTGCACAAAATTTAGCATGAAAGTTTAGTATAACTGCTTTATTTAGACAGAAAAATCCAGACTGGCTCTTCCATACTTAATCATATGTTGCATAGTCTTTGAAAAAGCATCTCAAATACTATTTCAGTACATACATATTGCTATGTTACCTTGCTAGGACTGCCTGCCTGCAACTGTATTCACTACATAGCTGGTCAAATATAGAATTCTGCGGTTGGAAAGGACCCAAGGATCATAGAATCCAACCTTTTTAAGTATGCAGTAAAATCAATTAAGCCATCCTTGAGAACTGGCTGTCCTATTCAATTTCTTTAATACAGAAATAAAAACAACTCTTTAAAGATAGGGAACTCACAACCTCTACAGATAAACTGTTTCACATTTGCATAGTTCTTACTATTGGGAACTGCTTATGTATATTTTAATGAAATTTAGGTATCTGCAACTTACAAACATTATTTCTGTGTCTGTTTTCTATTGCAGTTGAAAATGGTTCTGGATCATTTCCCAGTGGGTCCTGTTATGTATTTGTTATATTATTTCAATGTGTCAACTTCATGGTCTGTATTATCTTTATCACCCTTCCCTAATTATATTCTGTTTTGTTTTAGATTTTTTTATGTGCCTTTATTATTTTTATAAATGACTCAAGGTGGCAAACATACCTAACACGTCTTCCTCCTATTTTTTCCATAACAACATCCTATGAGATGAGTTGGCTGAGAAACACTGGTCATGTCTAAGGAGTGGGGGGGGGGGGAACAGACTAGAAGTCAGGATCTCATGGTTTCTAGCCTGATGCCTTAACCATATGACCAAATTGCCTGCAATACCTTACATTTCTCCCTGTCAAAAAACAACTTCTTTTTCTGAGCCCACTCTTCCAAGTTGGCCAGATCTTCCAATTTGTCAACCATTCCATTCAGTCATCTAGCAAAGAAATATTCCTGGACCATTGTTTTTGCCAAGAATATACTTTATTGAAGTTTAAGTGACTACAGAAGTATCAAAGTTGAATCTGAGATTTTCCTGCACAAACAATACAAAGTAATTTTTCCTTTCCCCCCCCCCCCCAGCGATCTCCCCTGTTATCTGTCCAATTAGATGCTTGTATATTGTTTAGGAAACAAGCTCTTGGTTCCAAGCTCTGTGTACCGATGGCTGATCTTGGCTAGCTGAAACTTCTCACTAAAGCTTCTCATAATTCAGCCAGCTCAGCTGGGCTTCCATCCTCCCCTACTTCTCTACATTCCAATATTTCTTTCCCCCAATTGCTAATGACAGACTGTCACCACATGAAGCTTGGATAGGAGAGAGGCACCCAGAAGAGGTAGCCATAAGATGGGGGAGGACTAGAACTTACGGTCTCCTAATTTCTAGCCTGATGCCTTAACTGTATGATGAAATTGCCTGAAATACCTTAAATTTCTCCCAGTCAAAAAACAACTTCTTCTGAGCCCTCTTGCAAGCTAGCCAGATATCCCAATTTTTTTTGCTTTTCACAGATTTTTATATAAATACCCAATTAATACCATCCATATCATTAATACAAATTTTGAATGCTATTAATCCCAAAATTGATCCCTGCAAATCCCTATGAGTTACTTGCCTCTAATAGTTCAAAACAACCCCATTACTATTCTTCAGTTCTATTGATCTATTAATACTGAGTGTCTGAATACAGTTAGCCAGCCATTGTGGATCAACTGTCATATAATGCCATCCAAACAACACTCTGACAACTTAATGAGAATTTAGTACACAATCTTGTGAAAAATCTTTTCTGATATTGAGTTAGATTATGTTCATAGCATTTTTGGTCCACTAAAGAAATTATCTGATTAAACAAGTTTGCTTTTGATGATGTTGAGCTGATTCTTAGCTCTCACAATTGTCTTCAAATATTTACAAATGACTTATTTTATTATCTCCTTTAAGAACTTCCAGTATTAGTGATAGATTTATGGTTGATCATTTTTGGAATCCTCTCTTTTCTATTCTTGAAGATACACTATTTTTCTGTTTACTCTCTGGCATCTCTCCAGTTCCCCATGGCCTCCACAGAGAATTGATATAAGTCTCATCAGATCTTCAGTAATTGAAGGCCCTGGGCTTAGGAACAAGATCCTTTTGTACAGGTGAAACTCGAAAAATTAGAATATCGTGCAAAAGTTCATTTATTTCAGTAATGCAACTTAAAAGGTGAACCTAATATATGTGATAGACTCATTACATGCAAAGCAAGATAGTTCAAGCCGTGATGTGTCATAACTGTGATGATTATGGCTTACAGCTCATGAAAACCCCAAATCCACAATCTCAGAAAATTAGAATATTACATGCAATGAATAAAACAAGGATTGTACATAGAACAATATTAGACCTCTGAAAAGTATAAGCATGCATATGTACTCAGTACTTGGTTTGGGCCCCTTTTGCAGCAATTACTGCCTCAATGCGGCATGGCATGGAAGCTATCAGCCTGTGGCACTGCTGAGGTGTTATGGAAGACCAGGATGCTTCAATAGCGGCCTTCAGTTCTTCTGCATTGTTCGGTCTCATGTCTCTCATCTTTCTCTTGGCAATGCCCCATAGATTCTCTATGGGGTTCAGGTCAGGCGAGTTTGCTGGCCAATCGAGCACAGTAATCCCACGGTCATTGAACCAGGTTTTGGTGCTTTTGGCAGTGTGTGCCTCTCCATTCTTCCTCCAGACTCTGGGTCCTTGGTTCCCAAATG